TGGAGGGACCTCGCAGCCCTGCAGTCCTTCTTCAGTGTCCTCTACACTCTTAAGTCCACTTTATCCCTTAGGTGAACATTTACTGTCAGCACAAGAGAGAAAATTGGGTTGAAGCTGACAGTGAGAAGGCTGTAGCATGTGCTGTGGTGGGTTTTGCAAAGCTGACGGAGAATACCTGGCAGGGAAGGATGGAGGATGGGCAGAGCTAAGTTTCCTCACTTTAGGGTGCAATAAAATTTCATCCCATTATGCCTATCTATCTGGCATGGGTTGGGTTTTGGGAACCCTTTGGAGTTTGCAGCCCACCTGTTGAGTAACATCAGCTTAAACTGAGCAAAGTGGTATCGGAGGAGCTAAATATTCAAAAAGAACTGACAGCACTGCATATGCCAGAGTGGTGGTGGGAGGATACAAGTGTGTGACTGGTGATATACAAAATCCAGGAGCTAGAGAGTGAACCAGCCACAGACTATGCCAGCACTTTCAGTTGCCAATGTCATTTTGGTAAGTGCAGTTCTCGCGTGCCCCTGGATTGGCATAGGTACCACAGGCTTTGCAACCACCCATGTAGGGGTAAAGGAAATAATTTGCTACTGTAAGGAATAAATGATCCCCATCTGACTGAAAAGGTACTTCAGGAAAAATCCCAGCCCATGTGATGTTCCTCTTTACTTCAATAAGGCCAGGAGTTCATCCTGCACCTCCGTGTAAATGTTCTCCTGTGAAGAAGATGGCCATTCCCACCTTGCCCAGCTTTCTCTCCAGGCAATGTCAGTGGGCGCAGCCTGTGCAGAAGTCTGCCAGACCTGAGGGTTACCCCATGGTGGGAACTGCATTTCCTTACACATGTGAAATCCTCCCTGCACCCAACAGAGCACAGCAGCTTGTACGGACACATACGGAAACTCTCCAGAGGAACAACCTGCCTTTCTAGACATGAATTAAGGGAGCAAGCATGGGAAAGACCAGCACAGCCAGAAACTCTCAGAGAAGAGAATAAAGCAACATGCGCTCCCTCTCTCCAGATCAGGGATTTCACAGCAGCACACACAGTCTAGGCAAGCACCACTGAGCAGCCCTCTCTGGATGCTTGCGCATTTAGCAAAGGTGCTAATGGGATACAAGCAGGCGTCAATCATTTTTTTCCTCTGTGCATGATGGCACATCTGCTTGTCACACCAGGAAAGACATGTCTGAAACAGGAGATTACACCACAGAGAAGAAGCTGGGGCACTTTGCAGAGACATTGTGGCCTCTGTCCAGCTTTGTCGCAGAGTCACGCAGTTAGGATGGGACTTCTGGAGGTCTCTTGTGCAAACCCATGCTCAGAGCAGAGCTGGACGAGTTTCAAGTATCTCCAGGGATGGAGATCTCACAACCTCCCTGAAGCCCTGTCCTGGTATTTGACCACCCTCACAGAGAAAACTTTTTTCCATTTAGTAAGTAACAATTTCCCATGGCCATTGCATCTTACACCTCTGACGAAAAGTTGTCTGCTTCACCTTTACACCTTCTCACTAGATACCCCTTGAGATGTTTCTTGTTGAGGCTGATCAAACCCAGTTCTCAGCATCTTCTCATATATCAGTGCTCCAGCCCCAATTGTTTTGGTAGCCCTCAGCTACCGCACACCGGTGCATCGGTGAAAAACCAGCTGTGGAGCACATCAGCCCACAGAGTGAGACGGAGGCTCTGGCGCTGTGCAGATGGGTGCAGTAACAGCTCAGTGACAAGGAGCTGGGTGGGCTGGTGTAGCAACTCATATTCAGCACATGAGACTTGGTATACCCCAACACTTCCATTCATTTTAAAGGCACCTGCTGCATACATTCAGTGTCCAAAGAGGAAAAAGAAAATGTCAGGATGGGAAGGCAGAAAATGATGGGCTATTGGGATTATGTACGATGTCTCTTGCTCATTTCTGTATCCCTCAACAGGATAGATAAAGTAATGACTGGGTGGACACATGAAGAGATGAGGAACCTGTCACAAAGCTCTGTAGGCAACTCCAATCAGTTATCTCACCAGTAGAAAATTAGTGTCTTGTTTGCAATTGCTCTCAGCTTCTGCCCGAGCACCTACGCATTTCCTATTCTTCCCCTTTAATGCTGCTGGAGTCAGATACCACATCTCCAGAAGCTGGAGAATTAAACTGGGCTGCAAGCAAGGGGCTGGACAGACTCTGCAGACAAACTCAGCTCCCAGTGCAAGTGGCAAGGCACTGCAAGAGCTGCTCAGCCCTTGGGTGTGCCTGCCTGCTGCAAACAGCCTTCCCTGTGCCGTGCCCATGCCCCGAAACTACCAGCGCTGAGACAGCCCTTCTTCTAGCCCACTTTTCCTGTGCAAAACCACAAAGATTGTTTTCTAATGACTGTGGGCATTTCTCATTTAAATGTTTTGGGGACAACTAGGCTTTGAACTTTCAGAATAATAAGATATTTTAAAATGGAGATTCTGCATTTCCAACTAGCGCAAAAAAAAACCTCTTCAAGAGATGACTACAAAAGAAGAGGCCAGAACTTCATGGCCCACAACCAACAAACAGCACTCTGGCAATGAAGCATTAGGAGCAAATGTCAATATGGTCACAGTAGCCACCCATGAGGGAGTTTGTTGTAGATACCACTTCAACATATCAAACTTCTTGGGCAAGGACTGTCTCACACCCCAGGACATCTTTATTTCATGCTTAGTCTTATTTTAAACAGAGGCTATAAAGACTATTGCTATCAGTGAAACATGGACATGTAGGCTGGGATTCCAACCACTTCTCTCTAAGTGTCAGGAGTAGGAGTAGTTATACACCGCCGGCATCTACCACTGAGTAATGTGCCCATGCTCTCCTTATAGTCAACAGGAGTTTCATCGATGTGGTCAGCAGAGTCTGAGAAGCCGCACATCTTGTCAAAGCAGATTTGGCCTGACCTGCATTGGACCAAAAGCACTGCTCTTCCTGAGCTGTATTGACATCTCCCACTAACAGGAGTTGTAAACGTCTATTACAGACAGCTTATGGTCACTGAACTGAGTCCCTTTGCAGTCAGTGGAGGTCCCTTGTAAGAAGATTATGACACAGCAGCCAAGGGGTAGTTACTAGTTGCAGTTTTGTTATCACTGACCTTTCCTTGCAGTCTCTGCTTTAACAGGCTGGTTTGGCTGTGTAGTCATCTCCCTGGCCTTCTGCACAGCATGTCACACTCAATTTCCTTTTTTTCCTACAGCGAGAGCAAGTACCGGACACTTACTAGCTCTTTACTCCAACCAGGGAGCAAGACTGAACACAGTAACATCTGCACCCCTCTCAGATTTTTGGTTCCCTGCAAACAGAAATCTTTGCAGAGACTTGAACACCATATCCCAAAGGAGCGCAGAGGAACTGATGGGTGCCCCGAGTTTTTGGACATGCAGACCAGTGAGCCCACAGTCACACACCTGCACCCAATACTCTCTTTGGGTGCAGCCTCTAAGCAAACAAGCCCTGGCTCCAACCTGACTACTTTGTGGCTGAGGCAGGAGCAGTCATGAGATGCTTTGGTGCTTGAGGAAAAGGGTCAATATAGTTTCTCTTCTTTTGAGCACAGGATGATTTTTTAAAAAAACTCATCAAAGATATACTTGTTCCCAAGGGATGTCCCAGTGCAAACTTCGCTCCTCCCATGTCAGCAACCATCGTCTCAGACCTGGCCAAACTGGACGTCTTACCACACTTCCACCCCAGGACTGACATTTGGGGTGAGACTGGGCTCTTGGTCGTGTTCACAGAATCACAGGATCACTAAGGTTGGAAAGGACCTTCAAGATCATCAAGTCCAACCATTAACCCAACACCACCATGCCCCCTAAACCATGTCCTGAAGCGCCACAGCCACACGTTTTTTGAATACTTCCAGAGATGGTGACTCCACCACCTCCCTGGG